ATAGTGTTTCATTAGAAGCTTTCCTTATGGAAAACATTAGAGTAAGTTCAAAGATTCATATATGTTTGGTTCCTTGGGAACTGGGGCATGTGTTTCTTTCAAAGTAGCCCCCATTGCTGCCAGAGTAAAGCTAAGGTAGAGTGACTGAGTTTTCAGTTACAATAAACCAGGCTGTTAGAGTCAGAAGGCAGATAAAAATCAGCCCCTTAGATTTGGAATTCATTTTGATCTACCTTGCTAGGCTCTTGGAATCAAATCTGCAAGGGAGTGATTTAAACCCCATTGTTGTTTCACTTTCTAGATTTATGGTGTGGGAGAATATACTGGGACAGGAAGAGCAGAAGGCTTTGGGCCAGGCAGAGTAGCTATTTACCAAAACTGGACAGGCAACTGTGTACCCAAATGAGGATTTTCACGGTGTGGTTATTCAGTCTAATTTTCCTTTAACCTCTATGACAGTTAAAGAGCATGACTGGGCATCTTAAATGAGTCCCTTGCTTGGGCTGCCCAACAATATGCAATTCCTAATCACCTTCTTCCCCAAATTTGTAACTTTTGAACTGGAAATAACAGGTTATGTAACATGTTGCTCTGCATAAGGATGTAATACTGTCAGAAAAAAGGACTCAGTGAGGAAGAAATTCTAACAAAACTGGAAATGACTTTTCTAAGAAAAGAGAAGATATTTTTGTTTCAAGCTCTTGAGCTGGTTTTAAATAGACTGGATGCAACGTTGCTGGTTCTTTTTGGGCTGTTGGTTTTCCTGCCCAAACCCCACCCAACAAATGCACAAAGCTGGAAAGGGATGAAGGGGTGGGAAGAAATGAATGATCTATGAAGGGCCTACACTGTGTCAGAGGGTTCATGGACGTTAATCCTTACAATGTTGTAAACTAGACAGTATTTCCCCATTTTACAAGCGAGAGAGCAAGTGAGGTTCCATAGGTTCCTGGCCTAAGACCACATCACCATGATTCCCACCCCAATAAGTTAAGGGGTTAAAGTCACATCCCATCAACATACTTCCACACTACCACAGAGGGCTGGAGATTATACTAGAAACACCGATCCGTTGGAGGAGACCCCTTGGAGATCCAGATCACCCATTACACAACACTGTCTTCTACAGCAACACCTGTTCTGTGTTGGAGCTCTCTACCTCATATTCCAGATCATTTCTTCAGCTGTACAGCTGTCCCCTGATGGTTCTTCTTTTGGCTCAGCACTGGTTCTGACCCTGGGGCCCACACTAAGCAAGGCTGACCCTTCTTCCCCCACAGTTCATGAGGGTGTTTTATAGGCTTACTGCCCCCATTCTACCTCTTTCCCCAAAGAAAGGCTTTCATGAGAACAGTATGCTGGCAGATGAATATAAGAATTCTCTCTCAAAAACCAAACCTCTCCATCCCTGACAACTTCCACAGCTCCGAAGATGGGAAATTCACAAGCCACCGTGCTCCCCGCCCCTTTTCACTTAAAGACACATGCTAGAAATAAAACTTTCCCTTAATTCGCCTACTGAAACTATTAGGAATACCTATGTCCTAAGTCTTGCCTGAAGAACCTGGGGGCATTCAATTCCAAGTTGAATGTAGGTCCAAACATTCACAAGGACCTAACGCATGCAAGGTACCGCTGAGAGACGCTCTTTCACCCCAGGAAACCGGCTGCAGCTGGTCCAGTTCCAGTGGGTGGAAGGACTTCCCGTCTTCACCGGCACCCAGGAAAACAAGATTTTTTCATGGTTCTTATAACGCCTACAAAAAGGGAATCCCGTTTTTGCGGGTGTCTGGCCTAGCGGCACACGCCACTTCTCCAGCGCGCGCGCACACACACACACATATACACACACACACACAAACTTGCTTCCACCGCCACCACCTGTGAAAACATCCCTCCTAACTTTGGCGAGGAGAGCTCCAGGGCAAAGCGGAGGGGCAAGGCGCCCGGAGCGCGCCGGGGGTCCCGAGGATGAGGGGGCCGGGCAGGAAGAGGGGAGGGAGGCGCGGCCGGGACCCCGCGCCGCGCGAGGGCCTGGAACGCGGCGGTTTCGGCTCGGGTTTCCCGCCCAGGCCCCGCCCACCCGGCGGCCCCGCTCGCCTGGACTGCGGCTCTACCCGCAAGCGAGCGCAACGCCGGGGGCCACCCGGCCGACGCCAGCAGGGAGTGCGAGGGGGCCGCGGCCGGCGCAGCCGACCCCCCAGACCCCAGGATGCGGCTGAGGGACGGCGGGAAAGGGGCCGCACCCGGCCAGCGCCGAGGAGGGCCGCGGGAATGTGCCGGGAAACAGGTTACCGCCGAGCCCCGTCCTTTCCCCGCGGCCACCCAGCCGTGACTCGGTTCCCGTCCGGCCGCGGGAGCGAGCCCAGCCCCTCCGGGCACCTCCTGCTTTCGGGATCCCGGAGGCCCGGCCGGAGCCCCCGGCAGCCGGGTTAACAGAGCCTTCAGCAAGGTCAAGGAGCGGCCACCGGCTCCCGGAGGTTTTCCCAGTAGAGCCCGAGCTTTGCAATCGCATTGTTAAGGATCATGGCAGCGGCAGGAAATGCGAACGGCCCCACAAGTCTACGGGAGGGAGGAGTGCCTTTACAGCGCGGAGCACACTCACACCCAGGATTTCAGGGAGGGGGATGAGGGGTTTCAGGACGTTGGAATGTGGCAAAGACAAAACACTCCCCACCCACGCACACCACCACCTCCGGACCGCGGGGGTAGGGAGTGCAGGGCCCCTTGCCTCGGACTTAAGCGTTCCGCATGATGTCAGGTCTGGGGTGGTTTTTCCCTCTATAGGCGAAAAACAAGGTTTAAAACCCCTCTACCACTGTGGTCTAGCAAAGCCTATTAACGCGATACAGGCTGCGGCAGCGAAGGGAAGCAGCGAGGTGAGAATAAACGCAACAGAGGCAAACTGCAGTCCGCGTAGGAGAGACGCTAGCCGACGGAAGCCATACTCGGCACCCATCCCCATCCCAACCCCATTAGTGCCGGGCTAGCCCAGGAAACAGGAATAGGTACGTCACGGTGTCCAACCCTGGCAGCGGCCAGCGCTCTCCCTCCTAATCCCACACCACAGTGGGCCTGGATGGCTGGGGCGCTTGGCATCTCCAAGGTGGACCAGACCTCACACGCAGGTTTCTAAACATGTTAACGGCACTGGGTGTGAAAGACGGGGAGTACGCCCTTGGATGGATAAGAAGAGGGGTTTGCGGGTTCCCCCGAATACAAAGCCAGGTTCCTAAAACGGCATTTCCTGGAAGGCCTCCCGACACTCCCAAGGAAAGGCTGGAAGTCTGAGGACTCAGTGGTCGCGGAGTTCTGACAGGCTTTTTCTGTCTCATCAATCCCGTATCCTCCACCCAGTCCCCGCCTAGACAACCGGTTCTTTGGGGGACAGCAGCCTCCGCACCCAATGCCCATTGCGGAGTGGGCGCCGCGGAGAGCGAGGCGCCTCCCTACTCTCTGGTCCCAGAGTGGGAGCGCCCTGGTACTTACATTCCTCAAGCAGGCAAACTTTCGGGCTTGTCTTTGCGAAAGGGGTGCTCGCATCACGGTGGTGGGTAATCACTGAGGCGGTTTATATAATTGACCGCGATGCCGTTCTGCAGACCTCCCTGCGTGCGCGGCGGCACAGCTGAGCACATGGGCGCTCTCGCCCTAGCGAGTCCCGAGCGTGCCCTGCCGCCGCCTTCCACAAGGCAGCAGGGCGATCTCGTGGGCCAGTCAAACGCCAGGAGTGCACGCAGGATCCGGCAAAACCCTGGCTGCCTCTCGGCGCCCCTTTCGCTGCATTGGTGGCTCGCGGATAACGGTACCTCTACGGACCTTCTCGCTAGCGCAGGGGTGGGTGGGGGGAAGATAGGGACCAGGCGGGGGCATTGGAGCGGTTCTGAAGAAAGCTCCGTAACCAGCTGAGTAATAATACCGTGGTCCACACGGACCAGGGAGCACAAATCGCCTTAAAGTCTCGCCCTGAAAAGGGAACCAACTTCCAAAGTTAAGAGACCACGCAGTTGAATTTCCAGTACTTTCCAACCTCGTGTAGGCGGGATAGGGCAGAGAAGGGGTGGGCAGGGGCCTGCGAAGCACACCCTACCACTCCGTCAACGAGGACTCACCAGTTGAACCTCCTCTCGCCCCAATAATTGGCTGTGTATGCTCTGGTTGCGTGTACACACACACACACACACACCGCGATACCACCTTCCTGTCTGCTCCTATATAAAGACAGCATTTTTATATATCGAGGAAAATTACTAAGGAGGTCGGTGATCACATTTCAAGCCAGAGCACATTTCCCGAAGCCGGGAGTGCGAGTAGACACACACACACACACGCACGCACGTGTGCCCCAAGCGTCTACCCGGCGGCTGCAGACTCTACTCGCTCTGAGGGGGAAGTCAACGCCGCGGCAGGGCGGCGGGCAAGGAGCTGCAAGCGCCGCGCCGGCTGCAGAGGGCGCGGGGCTGGGGTCGCGTCGTACGGTTCCCCACTCCAACCGCGGCGCTCGCACCGCAGGGCAGGATGCGGCCGCCGGGGCCCGGCGCCGCCTCGCGGGCTCCTGCAGAGCCCGCCAGGACCCTGGGGCTGGTTGGTCTGCAGAAGGGCTGCGGGCGCTGGGGCCGGGGCGAGGAAGGGGATCGGGGCGAAGCAGACGAGCCCGGGCGCGCCGCCTCCCTCCCACCCGCAGTCCTGAGTCCTGGGCCCGCGCCCACCTCCCTGCTCTCCTGCAACCCGGCCCCCAGACCCCTAGACCGCGGCGGACTGTGGGGGCAGCGGCGGCGGCTCGGGGCTCCAGCCTGGCTCCCTTCTCCGGCACACCGCGCCTCCCTCCCTTCCTCCCTCGGTGCGGGCCGGGGGAGCAGACAAGCGTCTCTCTGAACCCTTGGCATCCCCGCGTACTGCCCGACCTGCCACCGCTGATCAGCGCACAGGGGCGAGAGAGCCGGAGGGCGCCGCCGCGGTCCCCAAGGCGCTTTTCCGTAGAGCGGATCACGCCGCCTTACCATGGCTGCAGGCTGCTACCGCCGGGGAAGCGGGAAGGAGGGCGGCAGAGAGGCAGGGCGCCGCGCCGGTGGCTTCTCTCGCTCTCGGCGGCGCTGCTCTTCCGCTCCGCGAGCGCGAGCAGGGCGCCCAGGAAGGAGCGGGTCCCGGCTCTGCGCTCAGCTCCAGCGAGACCAACAATAGCCCCCGCAGGGAGCGGAGCCCCAGCGAGCCTCCAGCCGCGCGCGCACGCCGGGCTCCCGCTCCCGGCCGGCGTCCCTGCCAGCACTGCTACCCCACATGAAACAGCTGCAATCCCGAGGCTTCTGGGGGGTGGGGGCGGGTGTGTGCGCGCGCGTGTGTGCGCGAGTGTGAGTGTGGGTGTGTGTTTAATAGCTTCCCTCCTCTCCTTCCCCTCCCTGCCTGCCTCCGTCCCCCACCCTCGCTCTCTTACACACAGACAGAGAGGGCGAGCGAGAGAGACACACACACACACACACACACTCACACGCACACGCAGGTTACATGAATGGGCGGCGGGAGCCAATCCTGCGAGGCTGGGCGAGTCGCGGCGCACAGGAGCCGGGAGCAGGGCCGCACCACGGCGCGGGGGGGCGCCACGCAGGTGAGGCGCGTGCTCCCGGGGCCGCTCACCCGCCTCTCGGCTCACCCGAGTCTGTCTTCTCCAGCGTCGTCTTCTCTCTCCTTGCCTCCTTTCTCTCCGCGTCCTTCTCCATCTTATCTCCTTATTTCCTTTCCTTTCTCAAATTCTCCATGTTTTCTCAGTTCAGAATCTCTCTCGGTCTTTTCTTTTACCATCCTCCCTTTATTTCTCGCCCCCTTTTTCAAAGTTTCTCCTTCCTTGTCCCGACTTTCTCTACTTCCTCTCCTGTTGCCTTTTGTTCTCTCTCCTCCCTCTCTGGTTTCCTCTCCGGTCTCTGTGCAGCGTGGTCTGGTCTCCTCCCCGCTTCGCCTGTCCCCTCGTCTCTCTGAGGCCGTGGCCTACCTCTCCGCCTGCCCCCTGGTATTATTTCTCGCCCCCGACAGTCTCTCTCGCGTTGCTGCAGCACAGACACAGGTAGGTAATTAGGAGCTGGGAACTTTGAGTTCCTTCCTCAGGCACCCAAGATGCCAAAGAAAGGCCTGTCCTTCCTCGGACAACCTCCCCTAAAACCGTGGTAACAGCTACTGAGTAGTGATAACAACCCTTTAAAAAATAGTGGGCCAAGAGGTTTCTGTCCTCCGCATGTCTGGCTGGTGATCGCTAGCACATGTCCAGAAGAACGGCATTTTTAAACGGTGGGAGCGGAAGCTTGATGCAGTGGCAACTTGCAGGAGCTTTGGGAAGAGACTGGGGCAGTTCTCGCCTCAGCCCTGCTGCATGCTAGCAGTTATGACTTAGTGCAAGCCATTACTCCTCACCTAGCTTCAATTTTCATATCTGTAAAATGGAGAATTACACATACCTCACCAGTTTATGGTGAAGATTAAAAGAGGGAACAAAAGCAGGCAAGCACTGGGCATGTACGAGATGCTCAATGTTATTTTCTTTCCCTCCTATCCCCCTTTTTTTAAAAATTAAAGTATCATTGATATACAATCTTATGATGGTTTCACATACACAAAACAGTGGTTCAACACTCACCCATATTAACAAAACCTCACCCCCTCCATTGTGGTCACTGTAGTAAGATGTTAGAGAGTCATTAATTGTATTCTCCATGCTGTACAATGGTCCCAGTGACCTACCTGTGTTGTGCTTGTGAATTATAGTGCCCCTTAAGTCCCTTCTCCTCCCCACCCAGCCTCCCAACTCCTCCCCTTTGGTAACCACTAGTCCTTTCTCAGTGTGTATGAGTCTACTGCTTTTTTTGTTCCTTCTGTTTCACTCTGTTTTTATACTGCACAAACTCCCTTCATGATCTTCCACTACATTATAGCTTCATGATCTAAAGTGTTTAGTGAGGATGGAAATTCATATGAATGTGAAACAAGGTCCAGGATATTTTAAAAACTTTTGTTGGTCTAGCCAGTTGCCACCCACTGATCAGAGGCATCGCAGACATTATAAACCTGGATTGCCAGAATGCGCTTTGAACATCTTCTAACTGAGGCATCCCAGAAAAGCTGGGTTAGGAGTAGGAGTTTCCAATCTACTTTTTAAATCTTCATGGTAACTGAGCACTGGGCAGTGACAAAGCCTCCAAAATGAAAATGCCAAGTTTCTGCCTTTAAATAGCATTTATCAACTTTGTGTCCTCACATCAGACATCAAAAGCTGGGCATAAGCTGTGACTGGCAGTCAGATTCAGTTCCTTAACAAACATTTGTTGATCACCTCTTCTGTGACCAGCACTGTGATCAGCTCAGGTTATCCTGTGGTGAGGCAAATACGCCCTGCCTCTGAGTGTACAGTGAGTAGACATATCCGATGAGGTGTGTAGTAGGAAAGTGAGTCACATATGCCTTGAAAAATGCCATGGGTTTGGTAGACAAAATCTTTCAAAATATGAGGCCCATGGCTCTGGGGATAATAAAGGCATCCTTGAGAGTGAAAATTTTGGAATCCATTGTTTATCCTATGCACTTCCTCTGACTGGTAAGAAAATGAAGGTCCAAATGCTGAAAGAAGTGGGTGCAAGTATGATGATAAGATGTTTTGCAGAATCTCAAACTATTTTTGATTAATTTCAGAGGGAAAGGTAGTAACTTTATCATTGAAAAACCTGGCCAACGACACCTTAATCACATAATTAATAAATCAGCAGCACTGGGAATATGACAAACAGACATCACGTGCCTCTTGTGCGATGAGAAGGACGTAACAGCATTTCTGTGGTATTCCTGCCAAAAATTAATAACGTGAATATAATCATGAAGAAACATCAGACAAATCCAACTTGAGGACCACTTAATGAAAGCACTCATGTACTCTTTTAATAACGTGAATATAATCATGAAGAAACATCAGACAAATCCAACTTGAGGACCACTTAATGAAAGCACTCATGTACTCTTCAAAAATACCAGTCATGAAAGACAAAGACTCCAGAATAATTCCAGATTAAAGAAATGCTTTAGTTGTCATGACAATAAATGCAACAGGTGGTCCTGAATTGTGGCATTTATTGGACAGTTGATAAAACTGAAATAAGGTCTGTAGATTTGATAATAGTATGTATCAATGTTCATTTCATGATTTTGATAATTACTGTGCTTATATAGGAAGCTATCCTTGCTTGTAGAAAATACACAACTGAAGTATTTAGAGGTTTAAAAAGATGAATAAATCCCGATAGCTACCTTTAAGGAGAGGTAAAGTGTCATCAGTTCCTCCCAAAGAAATAGGTAGAATGTGAGCACAGAAGGATGCCAGACCAACTCCTTATGGGTAAGGGAAGACTTCCTATAGGAGATGGTATTCAAGCTGAGTTTTGAAGGCAAAGATTTTAGCTACACCGTGAAGGGAAGGGAAGGTGCCATTCAATGAAAGGCACAAGGACATGGACAAAAGCAAGGGACACTTACTGCGTCTGGAGAGTTAGCATGTAAAGAGAGTGCCTGGGGTGGAATGTAGAGCAGTAGGTAGGAGTTGGGTCTTGAAGGGCAAAGGGTCTCAAACATCCTGAAAGCTCAGGTGCTATGTTGTGGGTGGGGGCGCGGGGGAGCAGAGGTTATTAAAGCATTTTAAGTAGAGGAGGTCTGTGATCTCAATTGTATTTGAAAGAGATAATCTGGCAGCAGTGTGGAGAAATGGATTAAAGCGAGTGGCTTGGGCAGACCAGAAATGCTTAATTAGGTCACTTCGGTAAATTAGGTAGGTCATTTGGGCAAACTAAGGCCACTGTAGCCAGGATGGAGAAGAGAGCAGAGACTTGAGGAGACTGAGGATGTGAACTGAACAGACGTAGTGACTGGTTGGATGGGGTTAGGCAAAGAGAAGTCCAAAGTAACTTCTAATTCTCAAGCATGGAGACCAGGGTAGATGGTGGTACTAGTCACTTTGATGTTAAGAGAATTCAGAGGCAAGTGGAGACAGAGGGGAAAGTAAGGTCAGTTTTTACCATGTTGTAATCTAACTCTACAGCTAGTTTGAGATTGTCCTGTATGACTGTTCTGTGCCATAGGAAGCACTGCTTTAAAATTCAGCTTAAAACCCTCTGAACAGTCAGCCCATGTATTACCCAGAGGGGAAAAAAACATATAGATTGCATATGGTAGCAGTATATTATTTGTCATAATGGGAAAAAAATTGAAATAGACTAAATGGTCAAATAGGATAAGTAAACTGGGGGACAACCTTATTGGAATATTATGCAGCCACTCTATAAAGTTTTTCTTTTTAGCAGTTTTTCATGCTGTGGAAAATGACAATGTTATCATGTAAGATTTTTAAAAAGCAGACTATATAAATATCCTCATGGAGAAAAATCTGAGAAAAAAAAATGCCAAATATTAACAATGGTTGCCTCTGAGTGATAGGATTATGAGCAATATATATATATTTTCGTCTTCATGCCATTTGATACTTTCTAAGTTTCCCACAATGAACATTCACTACTTTCATAACAAAAATGAAAAGCTGTCATTAAAAAAAAAAATGGCTGTGACCGCCACCCTTCTGCTTTATCCCTTTTCAATCCACCCTTCCCACTCCTTCCCTGAAGATTAACTGCCTTTTAAGCTTTATCTTTTGAGAGTGAAATAAGAGGGCATTTAACAAATCAGGGGAAATTATCAGCTGGGCTGGAGAGGGGGAGAAGGCATTCTTATGCAGGCAGATATGTTATTAGAGCTGTTGAAACTGTATATATTAAAATGTTATATTGGCCTTATTGATTCTGTGATATGTTACAAGAAAAAGAAAACCTATAGTGGGGCCAAGAAAATGTGAGTCTTTAAAGGTCAAGTTTTAATTAGTAAATGTATTTATTTGCAAAATTACTTTTCTTCATAGTCCATCTACTGTAAAACTGTTGCAGAAAGCAGTTATTTCAGGCAAGGAGACACATAAGGGCAAGGGGCAGTGCTCTAGGCCTGTTGTCTGATGCTACATCAAATACCCAAACTGGTTACACAGGGTTCAGACACCCACTGATAAGCATCATCAAATGTTCATGATCAGAGAGCAAGGAAAGTGCCGGTCAGAGGATGTTCTCATTCTTTGGAAAGGTTGCCATCAATGTCTCTCCACTAAGTTCCCTCAGCATCTGTGATTCTTCATCTCACAGAAATGTTTATTATGTGGATCGGTTCCTTAACCTAATAATAACAACACTTTCCTCAAGCAGAGCCCCTTAAGATTTTCATAGGTCCTACACATCTGCTGATTTACTCAACTCAAGCCTTGCA